CTTTGACTTCCAAAACATGCTAGCTTTGCCTTCCAAGCTTCCTCCACTTTACATTTGGCCTAGTTAAATTTTAACACTTATGATATAAATAAATGAGAGGATAAATGGTGAGTATATAAGGGAAAGAGTGGGTTAAATGGCTGCCATTTTTAGGCCAAAAACCGTAGCCATCCATAATTAAAAGAGAAGCCAAATTGAAGAGAGGAAAACAGACAAAAAGAGAGAAAGAAAGAAAAGAGAAAGAGAAAGGGAAAAAGGAAAAAAAAAGAGCTAAGGAAATTATAATCAAACCTAAAAGAGGTAAGTAGGTTTCATTTCTTGGCTGATTAATGTCTTAAATTATTTTTTTTAAGTTATTTTGTTAGTGTTTATTTCATGGGATGTAATAATCTTCAATTGTTATATGCTTGATGCTTGGGATAAATCTATGTATGGATGCCTTGTTGTGGTGATTTATGATGTTATGATGTTTTGAAAAATTTCCAAGTATGTGGTGATGGGTTGGATTGGACTTGGACTAAATTTAAGTGAATTAAAATATGTTTAAAGTTGGCTTGGAATGAACTAATAAATTAGAGTTGATAAGGAGTAAATTCTGTCCGAATTTTGGGGTGCATGTTCAAGGATTTTAAATCACTTTCTGGGTGAAACTTAAAGCATAAAAGTTGTTTATCTATGTTTTAAATAACTCCCCGTAAAATTTCTTGGTCATTGGATTCGTTTACAAAGAGTTATACCCGATTTAGTATGGATAGCTCTAGACAAACTACTATTAGGCAAATTGCTCCCTAAGTTTCAAAAATTTGTAATTAATTGTATACTTGGTATTTAGACCTAATTTTTGGATATGTTATAAATAAATATGTCTAGTATCTAAAATAAAATGGGTAAGATTTAATTATGTTCTGAAATTAGAAAATTATTTACTCAATTAGGAGTTGTCCGGTAATAAATCCTAAAACCAAAAAAATTAGACTTTGATAAAATTAATAGGTTTGGAATAAACTAAATGAGCTTGGACTAAATAAAATGGAATTAAATAAAGTCAATGGACCTAGGATAAAGTTAATGGGCTCGGATTAAAGTAAATGGACTTAGACCTTCTTTTAAATATTAATGAAACTAATGAACAATATTAATGAGCGGAGATTGTGTTCCCGCTGTGGGTATCATGATTGGTATGTAAGCAATGGATAAATTCCGAGTGTGGGTTAGACCGTGAGTATGGCATGAGAATGAAGGGTTGATACCCGAATTTGGTTAAATGTGGTTAAATATGTCATCACGTGTATCATGTGCACGAGTGGGTGGTTTAAGACAAATCAATTGATTGAGAAATGGTTTATACATTTAGGTTTGATAACGTAACTGGAATAAATAGGTATTAGTAGTCCAAGTACTCTCGGTCGTGTGCTTGCACTATTAGACGATGGATTTTCGCTAATAGTAGTTAGAACGAGGGATCCGTTGTAGCAAAAGATGATCCGAGGATCATCCGGATGAAATCAAGTCGTGTGCTTGCACTCGTTAGACGATGGATTCCCGCTAACGGTAGTTACAACGAGGGATAATTCCGTTGTAGCAGAAGGTGATCTGCGGACCACCCGGATGATAAATAGAGTAGACTAGCTAATACCTGTGGTACCCGAGATTAAAATTTATGAGTATGGTGGGAAGTCAAAACAACATTGCATATCATGTGCATCACCCCGCTTACCGAGCTTTGGCTCACCATGTTGTTATTTATTTTATGTCTTGATAGAAAAAGGACAAGTTGGTACGGATGCGGCTGGCTCCTCCTAACCGGCTCATGTGAGGCACCATATACTATTTTTTATTTTGTCCGTAAATTTGGGATATGAAGTTCGTGAGAAATTGAATATCGCCCGTAATGTTTTATTAATGTATTTAATTATGTTATGTAAATTTTATCTTAAGGAGTTATATACGTAATGTACTCGTTAAAGTCCTAAGAATATCATAAGAAAACTACTTAGAGTTTAGGGTATGTCGGCGTAACGCGCTTCGTCCGATACCTTACTTAGGTAGTAGAAATATGACTAAGGTGGGGGCGATACACTTTTAGCTCTCTCTCTCTCTCTCTCATCGAATTTATATATGACAAAACTATATATATATAACACCAAATAAAACCTATGAATTTTTTTAACTAATTATTAATTTAAAAAAAATTGAGCCAAATTATTTTTTACCCGATTGTTATTTTTTAATAAAATTAAGTTCAATTATCTAAAATACACTTTTAGCTATCTCAATCTCTCTCCCTCGTTAGAATTTATATATGACAAAACTCTCTCTCTCTCTCTCTCTCTCTCTCTCTCTCTCTCTCTCTCTCTATATATATATATATATATATATATCATACTTAGCAAATTCAAAGTATATAAAATAAATAAAAAATATATAAAAAAAACTCACTTAAATCGCATGGAATATATCGAAGTGAATGGATTTAAATAAAAACTACAATAAAATTGATTTCGATAAATTCGATTATATATGCATAACCAAATAAAGCCTATGAATTTATTTAACTAATTATTAGTTTTTTTAAAAAAAAACTAAGTCAAATTATTTTTTTAAAAAATAAAGTCAAATTATCTAAAACACACTTTTAGCTCTCTCTCTCTCATCGAATTTATACATGCAATTGCGCTATTCTCATCTAAAAATCATAAAAATAATCAATCGTATAAATGATAATAATATATTTTAAAAAATAAAACAATCATGTTCTAAAATTTTATTTCAAAAGCCATATATAAAAAGAATCAAATTTGTTAACAAATAAAATTAAAAAATTAACTAGATGATAATTTTAATAAGAAACAAACAATTGAAGAAATAAATTTTAAATAATAAAAATAATATAACCGGATATATATGTTCAAGCTAAAATTTTAAAAAAATCATATATATTATATTACGAGTCAAACTATACGTAAAACTAAAATAAATAACGATTTTTTTTTATATTTTCACACCTAATTTTATGATAAAAAAATATAAAAATAAATTATTTATATAGAAGGGAATAATTACCATCTAAGAACATATAGAAATCGAAAAATAATCCTCTTTTATTTTCTCAATTGCCGATAATAGAGGTGTTCACTATTCCGTAAAAGCCGAATAACCGAACCTAATCATACCGAAATATCAATTTTGATGTGTTTTTTTAATTAAAACAAAAAACCTAATCGAAATAATTTTGATTTTCGAGGTTCGATTTTGATTTTTTTTTTTTAAATTCAATTAACCGAAAAGCCAAAATTTTTAATGTACATACATAAATACAAATATACACAAACACACACATATATATCTATACATACATACATATACATGTATATAGATACGTATGTATATACATACATAACTACAAACACACACACACACACGATATATATATATATATATATATATATATATATATATATATATATATATATGTATACATATATATATATCTTTTTTTTTTTAAAAAAAAAGTTAGATTACTCAATGCATCTCCCCTATATGCCTTTTCTCTTACGAGTTTTATATGTACTCTTTTCGTCTCTATTACAAATCTGGATGTACTAAAAATAATAAAGACGTTGATAGATTTTCTATCGTCTCAAATTCAAGCTTTATTGAATAAACAATTTATTATTTGTTTATCTATCAATACATTTTTATTTTTTGGACGTAACTTAGGTTCCTAACTAGTGGTCCACAAAGTAAAAAGAAACTCACTCTAAACAAAGATTTGAAGAACTTTAATAAAATCAATCATTTGTAAATAAAATAAAAGAAAATAAAATGGGTAAAAAATGAATTATTGAATACTGAAACTGAAATATTTCAAAACCGAGTCGAAAAATTGAATAACATTTATGTTCAATTTCGGTTTTTTTTTTAAAAATTTGGTTAGTCAAAAACTCGTTTAAAATATTTCAAAACGAATAAAGTAATCGAATGAACACCTCTAGTCGACGACCTGACTCTAAAAAAAAAAAAAGCTACAGTAAATAAACAATCACACATCCAAATCTTTCATTTTTTTTTATAATAATTATTCTTTTGTTTTTTTGTTTTTGTTTTTTGTTTTTTTTACCTCAATTCTGCTGGCAATTCTAGATTGATATGCATAAAAGCAAATTCTTAATAAGTATAGTACGAAATTTCGTTATTAGCCATGAGGTTCGGGGTTCAATTCCTCTCTTTGTTTTTTTTTAAAAATTGAGATTATTTAAATAAGATTATAAGAACACTATGAATCACTATAAATCATGTAATTCATTCCACTAACCTTGGATGATTGTTAACTAGTCCATGTGACGAAAAAAATTCTAACAAGAAAGTTCATTATTGCCAATTTTCGTTAAATTCAAAAACAAAATAACAATACAATGACTAAACATATTTACCATTTGAGCCAAACATCTAAGAATAATTCCAATTTTCTGAGAATAATTCTTGCTGAAATAATTAAATATCATCATGGAGAATTTATATGCATTTCACATATCTTGTCGAGGTTTAATCAACAAACAAAGTTTTCAGGAATTGTCAACCTCGTTTAAAAAATTAAACCGTTGCCTGGTGTGCTTCGATTGGGTTTTAGGAGATTAGTGGGTGTGGCATGAATTCATTCACCAATAAAAGAAGTATTGGTCGACAGGCCCCAGTTTCAGCTCTCAATTGGGCCGGATTAATACCCTGTCTCAGTTTTGAAGGGCGGGCCCTTAAATTAAAAAACCGAATCAAATTCCAGTGCTTTCGTTATTGTCGGTTCCCCTGAAAAATATAACGAAGGAAAGGGACCAATCAGCAAATCAGGGAAGTTTCTTCCATCTCACAAACAATAGCAGTAATATATAAGAATACTAACACCCTAGCCTCCTTTTGTCCGTGTCTCTCTTAACTTTTTAGGGTTTTCGTATTTTATTTCAATTTCAATTCGTTCAATCTCAAAATCGCTAGGTTTGGATTGGATGGGTACGGAGAGGAAGAGAAAGGTGAGTTTGTTCGACGTGGTAGACGAGACGTCGGTTTCTGCAAAGATCGTGAAATCGAACGGAGCGATGATCAGCAATAACAACGGAGGAAGCAGTTCGATAAATCGGTGGAATGGGAAGCCCTACTCTCAGAGATACTATGATATATTAGAGAAGAGGAAGAATTTGCCTGTTTGGCATCAAAAAGAGGAGTTTTTACAGGTTTTGAAGAAAAATCAGGCTATCGTCCTTGTTGGTGAGACGGGCAGTGGTAAAACTACTCAGGTTTGTTTTTTTTAATACCTTATACTTTTTATGTACTGTATGTGTTTTGAATTATTTGTCTAATTTTTTTAATTATTGATCGATTTCTTTTTTGTTTGCAAATACTTTAGTAGATAACTAGCCAAGTTAGGTTGTCCTAGTTAAAAAAAATTATAATTTTAGTTTGAATAGTAGGAGTAATGAGAGATTTATTTTATTTTTACTTTTCTGACGAAGAAAAAATATGGATTATCTTTTGTATTGCAGTTAGATCTATTTTCACTTGAAAAAAAATTATTTCGTTTCAGTTTCCCATATATGAACTGTGTCATGCTTAATTTCGAGTAATGCAATGTAATGAGAACTAGACAAAAAAAAAGTAATAAAAAACTATAATTTTAGTTTGAATAGTAGGAGTAATGAGAGATTTATTTTATTTTTACTTTTCTGACAAAGAAAAGTTATGGATTATCTTTTGTATTGCAGTTAGATATATTTTCACTTGAAAAAAAAATATTTCGTTTCAGTTTCCCATATATGAATTGTGTCATGCTTAATTTCGAGTAATGCAATGTAATGAGAACTAAAAAAAAAAAAAGTAATACGCTGCTAATGTAAAATTTGTGATGGTACAGATTCCTCAGTTTGTTTTGGAAGCTATAGAATTAGAATCTCCTGATAAACGTCGGAAGATGATGATTGGATGTACCCAACCTCGAAGGGTGGCTGCAATGTCTGTTTCTCGGCGTGTTGCTGAGGAGATGGATGTTACCATAGGTGAAGAGGTTGGTTATAGCATCCGTTTTGAAGACTGTAGCAGTGCAAAAACGGTTTTGAAGTGAGTTCAGCTCCTCTATGTTACTTATTTTACCAAGATTCTTGGATTTAAGCTGTGTGCTCATTTTTGTTCTCCTTCATGTCAGGTATCTGACTGATGGTATGCTTTTAAGAGAGGCAATGGCAGATCCGCTTTTGGAACGGTACAAAGTAATAATCCTTGACGAGGCTCACGAAAGAACTCTATCAACAGATGTTCTATTTGGACTTCTTAAAGAAGTGCTGAAAAATAGGCCTGATCTGAAGTTAGTTGTAATGAGTGCAACACTAGAGGCTGAGAAATTTCAGGGTTATTTTGGTGATGCACCTCTTATGAAAGTTCCTGGTAGGCTTCATCCAGTTGAGATATTCTATACCCAGGAGCCCGAGAGGGATTACCTTGAGGCAGCAATACGGACAGTTGTTCAGATACACTTATGTGAACCCCCTGGAGACATACTAGTTTTCCTAACTGGTGAGGAGGAGATTGAAGATGCTTGCCGGAAAATAACAAAAGAAATTGGAAATTTAGGGGACCAAGTGGGACCAGTTAAAGTAGTGCCTCTATATTCTACGCTTCCACCAGCCATGCAACAAAAGATATTCGAACCTGCTCCACCTCCACTACAGGAGGGTGGCCCTTCTGGAAGGAAGATTGTTGTGTCAACAAATGTTGCAGAAACTTCTTTGACTATAGATGGTATTGTTTATGTTATTGACCCTGGCTTCTCTAAACAAAAGGTTTATAACCCTCGAGTGCGGGTTGAATCTTTGTTAGTTTCCCCCATATCAAAGGCTAGCGCTCACCAGAGATCAGGACGTGCTGGAAGAACTCAACCAGGCAAATGTTTTAGACTCTACACAGAGAGAAGTTTCAATCAGGATCTCCAACCACAGACCTATCCAGAAATATTGCGGTCGAACCTTGCTAATACAGTTCTAACATTGAAGAAATTGGGGATTGATGATCTTGTGCACTTTGATTTCATGGATCCTCCTGCTCCTGAGACGTTGATGCGAGCATTGGAGGTGTTGAATTATTTGGGAGCACTAGATGACGAGGGGAACTTGACAAAGCTTGGGGAGATCATGAGTGAGTTTCCCTTGGATCCTCAGCTGTCAAAGATGCTCGTTGTGAGTCCTGAATTCAACTGTTCGAATGAGATTCTTTCAATTTCGGCCATGCTTTCGGGTATGTTTTTGCAATCATGTTTGTTTTATTGTAGCTTTCTTGAGTCTAGTCTAAATGATTTAAAGGTACTTGATGCCATTGGGTTGCAGTGTTATCAGATGCATCCCTATTTACATGGCATGTGTGCAGCCAGTTTTCTGTGCACTGCATTAGTTGTTTAACTGCTTGCATGTATTTGCAAGTATGCATGTATGCAGTTAAAGAATTGATGTGTCCAATTAGGTTGTCATCAGCAACTGTCTTGTATGGGTCCCATGCCCCCGGATGGCATGCACCATCGGATTCTAAGTAAGTGCTGATGCAGATAGTTGCAGTTTCTCAGTATTATCTCATGAAGCAAATGGTATCGTCTCGCCTGTATGCATCTGCTGACCTACCATGGGCCTCTTCTGTGGTAACCAAATTCTTTCTTTAGTACCCAATTGCTTTGTCCGCCCTAGGGAGGCTCACAAGGCTGCCGATGAAGCGAAAGCTAGGTTTGGGCACATTGATGGGGATCACCTCACGCTGTTGAATGTATACCACGCATATAAGCAAAACAGTAAGTACTTTTACTCTATTTCTTTTTTCTAACATTTGATTTGTCTGCATTAGTTGTCATTTCCATCAGATTCTTACCCATTGGTGAATGGATTGTAGATGAGGATCCATCATGGTGCTATGAAAATTTTATCAATCACAGGGCACTGAAGGCTGCTGACAATGTAAGACAACAGCTTGTGCGTATCATGGCCAGGTTTAACCTCAGGTTATGCAGCACAGACTTCAACAGCCGTGACTACTATGTCAACATAAGAAAAGCTGTATTAGCTGGATACTTTATGCAGGTTGCTCACCTGGAACGAACTGGACACTACTTGACAGTGAAGGACAACCAAGTATGTGGAATTTTTGCAGTGATGCTCTAATGTTCTTTTTGTTCAAGGTTGATTATAGAAAGGAGTTATGTTATATAACATTTTTGTTCATTGGTGTTGATTTGTTTTTCAGGTGGTGCATTTGCATCCTTCAAATTGTTTGGATCACAAACCAGAGTGGGTTATTTACAATGAGTATGTCCTAACCAGCCGAAATTATATTCGGACTGTGCTAGACATTCGTGGTGAATGGTTAGTCTATCCTTCCTTAAGTGCTTCTTTTGTTTACGCATCTCCACTTTAAGGGCCATGTATTAGAATTTGTCTGAAGTGAATAGCAAGTGGATATAAATTACAAACTAATGTGTTTTTTTAATGATTGATTGTCTTTTAATGATGTGGCAAAATACTTGATATTTTTTTATGAATAATTGTTTTTTAATGATGTGACTAAATACATGATTGTTTTATATTATTTTTTTTGGTTTGAAGGTTGGTAGACGTTGCACCGCATTACTATGACTTAGATAACTTTCCACAATGTGAGGCCAAGCGGGTTCTTGAAAAGCTTTACAAGAAGCGGGAGAGGGAGAGGGAGGAGAACAAGAACAGAAAATGAATGTATCATCTGAGTTGCTGGACCCATCCAGTGTTTATTTTCCAGAAACGGAAAGTGTGGTTGTCCTTTAGAAGCTATTTTGATGCTCATCTGCATCACAACCACCTTTTTGGATCCAGTTGCCTGGCCCAGCTGTCTTGTACCATTCCTTCGATTAGTAGCTTTAGTATCGATCATTTTATATTGTACTTTAATCATCCACGTTTGTTTTTGAATGTGGAATCGTTGTTGCAGTTTAAGGTCTAGGTGGTGAACATTTGAAGAAAAATGTTAGGGATATGGATTCCTTATGCTGTGGTTCTTGATTTCAGTCTGTACTGAGTGATATTATTTATTCAGGAAGTACACTCGTCTGAATTTGTCTTACCTTCTTCTTTGTGTATTAAGAAAATGTGCTTTGGTTTAGAAAGAAGTAAATAATAACAATATAAACAACTTCCATGGTTCTTTTGAAATTCGAGTGGGTGAACAATCAAGCAACCGTAATCCCTTCCTCCTAGATCAAGGGAGTGATTCAGTAATGTTGAGTGGATTTTGTTATTTCATCTTTACTGGTACGCAGCACATTCGGTACCAAGACATTTGTGAATTGACCACATAATCGTTTCTCGTCCGAACTTTTTCAGGTCATTTGTTTCGTATCATGAGAGAGGATTAGAGATATTAGAAGCTCCATTATGACTGTAGAGTTGTAATCCTGTAAAGAGCAGTATGCCTTCTGATTGTCAATTAGGGATGGTAATTTGTCTCGTTTCAATGGGATCTTGCCCTGGTTAATGTGAGGATTTTTGGGATGCCCATCTTGCATTAATTTTGAAGGGAGATGAAGCAGGGATGGTATTTGTCCGGTTCCTACCTCGTTTTGTCTCGCTTCTTTCTTTGAAAATTACAATTATATCAAACATATATATAATGAGTGAGTTTTGATAATCTTTAAGTAATAAAGACATGGAAGAATTTATGGTTTTTAATTTCATTTATGATACTTTATCAATTTAATTAAGTATATATTTATTCAATTAAAAACAATTTAATATATCATGAATTTTATTATAAACTTGTAATTGAATATATTATTTATTCTTAATTATATTTTTTATATGGATTATAATTTTTTTATCATAATTTAAAATTTGTTATAAAATAATATAAAGTAGAATGGAGCGAGACAAGCATAAAAAATTAAGTAGAGCATCGATGCTTTGTCAGAATCTTCGTCCTCTGCCCCGCTCGAGGCATGAGACAAGGATGGGATGGATTTTTCAGGAGCGGGCCGGGGGTGGGGATGGCCCATTGTCATTTCTATTGTCGCCGAAAGTGTAAACGTTATACACGCTCAATGGGATTTCAAGATGAATGAACTTACATTCAGTGGCTGAATAGATTAGTAGCTTTTCTAAGGCTAAGGACTAAAGGAATGCTTTTTGGTTCTTCTTAACCTCTTCATTCTATAAAAAAGTTGGTCATTTATCCAAAAATACGGAATGCAAATATATTATGTTACTATTTGGTTATTAGAAATGAAACAGTGAGAATGAGAATAAAAGTTTCATTCTCGTTTTATAACTCGTTTAGTTAAAATGAATGAAATTGAAATGAAAATGCGAGTGAAAACGAAAATAAAAATTACATACAATTTCATTTCTATTTAACATGTGGAAATAAAAATAAGGAATATAAATGATTTTTTCTTTAAAATAATAATATATTTTATTTATTTATTGTATATTAATTATTTTACCACCATCACAACTACAACTAAAACCACCACCACTACAACCACCGTCACCACTATCACCATAATCATCACTAACACCACAATTACCATCACCACAATAACTATCATCACCACCAGTATTATCACCTTTATTATTTTTACAACTATTATGATTTGATAAAATTATTTTTTTCTACCACTACAATCACTACAACTACAAGCACCATCACCACCACCACAATAACTACTACCACCACTACCATCACCTTTATTATTTTTACAATCATTATAGTTTGATAAAATTATTCTTTTAATCATTATTTTTATTTATAAAAAAAATTATATATTAAAAAATTTAAATTACATTTCAATTTCTTATTAATATTTCAAACATAGTATGAGAATATAAATACCATTTTGATTTCTTAATTTTTATTTTGATTTCTGCATTCTCATTTCGGACCTTTCATTTCGATAATCAAACGACACTTAAGTACTGATAAGGCAACAACATCAGCAAATGTTTTTGTGACAAGCAGTAAGACTGCACACTTCATGAATCTTGATTAGCTGATTATAATTCATACTCGTTCTTCAGCCAGTTTTCGATAAAGTTCATCAATCTCCACCTGTCATCATTAAATGAGTTGGATCCTTGTAAGCAATAGTTAAACAGGATGCAAAGAGAACAAGAAAAAAGTGATTCCGTTTATTTTACCTTATAGTAGCTAACCAACTTGTTTCTTTTCTTCTTCAATGTTGCAGTCACCAGATCCCTTTCAATGTCGAAGGGGCAGGGCTCCAGTATCACTCCTTTGATATGTTCAAAACCTTTCAACTGATTATCGAACCAAATAATTAGAAATTTGGAAATAACCTATTAGCTGGCTTAAAGTAACGCAAATAACTTACAAGGTTCTCAGTCATATTTAATTACTGGTCTCTGAATATTAAGTGAAATAGGATAAGTTCTTAAAAAGAGGCAAACAGTTCTCTGGAGCTAAAATAGCGCTGACAGCGGAAAGCCTGAAAGGGAGTTAGTAACATGTGGTTTGAAATTTAGCAGAGGCTACCTTGTTTCTTTCAGCTGTAGTCTTTAGCTCTGAGAGGACGAATTTCTGTAGCTGATGGAGAGAGCAAAGCTCAGTGAATGAACCCATGTGACCATGCAAGAACGCCCAGTTTTTTGTGTTTACTTCATGAAGCACGACCACTGCAACTAGCATCGACTTGAAGCTGTCTCCGTAGACCCAAATCTTAAACAAAGAAATAATAACGCAATTTCAATGCAACTTCAATACGCCTAGTGATCACATGATAAAACACTCAATTAAGAAAATGAACTGAAAAGATGCTTACGTCTTCAACAATTGGAGTGTTGCTATACACATTTTCCAAATACTCCAGAGCAATATATTCCCCCTGGGAAAGTTTTATAATATTTTTTTTCTATCAATAATCTTAACAACCCCGTTTGGAAGAATTTCTCCTATGTCTCCTAAAAATGCCAAAGAATGAAAGAGTCAGTAAACAAATATAGAGGCATTCTGTCAGACAAGAAATATTAGCCGTTTAACTAACCTGTATGAAACCATCCATCTTTCATGCATTCTCTTGTCAGTTCTGGATTCTTGTAATACCCAGAAAAAAGAGTCTTCCCTCGGAGACATATCTCACCACAAGGAGAATTACCTAGCGGATTGTATCCCATCTCCGGAACCTCCTCCAGGCGCAGCTCATTGTATACGGCTGGAGACCCAACTGTACCCAGCATGCACATTTCATCCGGAAAGCCCATAGTGGCTGGTCCACAGCTTTCTGTCAACCCTGAATGAAACACGATGTGAATGATTATGTACATTCTAAATCAATGTGAAAAGAAATGTAATCCTCCACTAAAATTATTGCATAGTGAGATGAATCAGATCTTTGATATTTTAAAATTATAGAACTTCATATGTAGGAAGTTGTTTAGAAAATTTAAGCAGGTACGCTGAAATATGATAGTCCATGGAAGTATTCAGACGAGCTATGTCAATGCTCAAAATATTGTACTGGACTATGATGGAGCTGCTCTATACTATATGCTCAAAACATTATTTCTTCATTTTCCAACATGATTATTCTACATGGACTGCTCAAATTTCTCCTTATTGTTGAGGAAGAAGTTCTGTACCATAGCCTTGGACTACGAAGGCACAGCAAGTAACCCTCAAGAATTCTTCCACCTCAGTGCTCAAGGATGCTCCTCCGCATATTATTAGTCGAAGTCGGCCACCTAACCTAGCTTTGACCTAACAGAGTGAAGCAACACAATCAATGTTGAAAATGTTATGAAGCAGTCTTAAAAGTTCTATGGCCAATAGAATAGCAGTAAATTGTTTTCAATCAGTGGAATTGATTCTTCAATGTCTTTAAGAACCACGAATTTCCACAAATTTGGAAGCATGAATCTGATGAGGTCATTTTTGAAGTTGCTTACAAGCTGTGTGCTAGATTTGAAGTATTAAAAATACAACAACAAGAAGAAAAACCTTCCTGAAGGCCAACAGATCGGCCAACGGCGATGCATATTTCTGTTTGTAACCCCCATTCATCCAACCAAGCTTGCTGTATAACCACAAAAAAGGTACATTCAGTATCAGTATTATATCATACTGGCACAGAAAGTGTTGTACCCATTCATTGCTAGTACTGAAAACAAATTTCTCCACTTAAGAAGAAACTTACTATCTATACAAAGCCTCAAATATTTTCCTGCGTAGGGGACGGAGTTCTTGTACTGCCTTCTTTATACCTGAAATACAGAAGAACCTACTCTTAAATAAGAATCGGCAAGCATCGTTCAAAATCAATCTATGCGTGCTTCATAGATTACTATAAAGATTTCCATGCCTTCTTGTATTTTTTCAAAGACTCGAGGCACGCCAGCTAAACATGTTGGCTTCAATTCCATCAAATCATCCCTCAATGCATTCAAATCCTTCAAAGCAACCAATATAATTTTGAGCAACAATTATTGCTAACCAAAGATCTGAAATTTATAGGAAAATGATAAGAGTGTTGAAAATTGACAGCAAACACTCGAGCCATACGGTAACATCCGGTTTTCATAAGAAAAGTGAAATTTGTTGGGATAATACATTACAGTAGTGTATGGCTTTCTTTCATTTCCTTCCTTTTGCCTACAGCACCATTCACGTTAAACTATGACTTCAGTACTCCATTACAACTACAACTATTAGCAGTCATCATAATTTTTATGCAGGTGCCCCATGATAATAGTCCAACAGATAATCTAGTTGTTTAAACTTTCCTCTTCTCTTTCCCAGATCATTAACCTGTTCAAAGTTCAAAATGTATTGTTCCAGCAACATACCCCATGATAATAGCCAACAGAAGCACCTTTCCGGAAAAAGTATTCCTCAATCATGCGATCAAGGACGTGAGCAAGTGGCAGGAAAGATAGATACACATCATCAGGTGTCATCTGTTTTAAGTCGCAAAACGTGTGGCAAAATAACAAGATAAACGTTAGTAGGAAAACAATACATGACCATGGGAAATGTTCAAGCAGAGAACGCATGAAATCAAGATGAGAAGTGATTTTTATGTGGATCGTTAGTTAAAATTGTTAACTAAGATAATAAGGATAGATTTTGGCTTGCAGAAAGACTTTCTCGTGAGCATTGGTTTACTGCATAAAATTAATGCAATTAGATTACCCAAACAATTTTTTCTTTGTTTTGATACATTAGTCAAATCATTTGCATGTTCATACAACTTCATACAGCATGCGGAGGCAATCAAATCATTAGAGAACACTAAATAAAAGATATCATATTATTTTCCTACCTTGTCTTCAAATTGTTCCATAAATAGATCAATGCCTCTTATAAAAGCTGCAACTGTTTCATGCAGTAGCACAACACCTTTGGGATCTCCACTGGTGCCACTTGTGTACATAATTGAGCATATGTTAAAAGGCTGAGGCGGCAATATCTCCGACGGATTCTCTTTTCCCTAATGCACAAGACTCTTAAAAATTAACCACAATGGAGCCAAGAAAAAAGCTGCAATAATGTATTAACTCCATTCTGTTGTATGGAGAATTGGAGCAGAACTCCCAGAAGTTGTAAGCAGGGAAGTATCTCATATCCTACATAACTTTAGCAAGGTTAAAATAAGTTTATCTAGTCTCATACAGTGCACTCTTATGCAAAATAATTTCAAATAAAAACCGCTCTAGCCTCAATTATACCCGAACATCGCAACTATCTTCAATTATCACTACACAGAAAGAGCCTGGATACAGATTTACACAAGGATAATTCTCGAACTGAATAAGTACTACTATGTCACCACATAAGACACCTGATAGATGTCATGAAGGTGAAATTTTTAAGTGAGAAACTAACCATGCATAGATACTCTTCCCAAGAGTATGATTTTATCCCCATCTGGGCTGCCGTATTCTTCTCTTCCTCGGTCAAAGAAGTGAAGCAAACAATTGCTGCAACCACAATTAAAGTTAGTAGGATGCTTTGTAAGAGTTCCAGAAAATCTACTTTAGACTGCCTACTCATTCTTACTTTTAAGCCGCTGAGCAGATATGCAATCAGGATTTAGCAACTGCAAATAGAAGTGTGTCTAATTAGAAAATCTGCAGCTTTTGTAAGCAGGGTCAAGAGGCAGAGAATGCATATGATCAGAAAACAGGATAACTTTTCTTACTTCTTTCACTTTTTTATCTTGGACAAAAACATAATCAATCTCTGCATGATCTATAATAAAATTTACAGCACGAGGACCTGCATCCAAGAAAACAAATTCAAATTCAATTGTAGTTGCTAGAAGTTTAATGAACTGGTCCAAAAATGAAGTTCTGAATACCAATGGCTCATGCTTATTTGTTGAAAGGAATCAGAAAGGTCATGCTATACGGTGCCCCTAAGTACACCACCTAAGGAAATCCCTCTCTGGAATACGAATAAGTGATATACAAAGAGTCAAAGAATCGATGCAGGGTTTAGAACTAGAGAGCAAGTCGCTAATGGTTATTTGAAGTTCACTGTCTTCCTTCATTTGAAGTAGAAAGCAAAAGGAAAACGGAAATAAGACAACTCAGAATCAGCTCTAACATTTGGAACGAGAAGGACAAAATATAATTGATAATTTCTCCTCTCAAAAGCTTTCAGTTGCAGAATCCAAGCACGCGTGGATTTACACCTTGGAACAAAACCCAGTAATTAAGTTTTCTGGAGAAGAAAAGTGAATCTATTTCTTTTCTTTTTTCTTTTTGATTTTTTTAAAACCCGAGAGAGTACAAATTTAATACTAAACTGAAAGTATTATAGAAAGAAGTTTACCAATGGTATCGTATAGAGGCACGCAGACTAAACTCTGGGCATTGCAAGCCTGCACAGAAAGCACTTGTGATTTAAAAACAATCAAAGAAAAAGAAAGTCTCAACCAACATTAACGGAAAATCATAAAATAGTAGGAAGCAGACCTCCATTGCCTCAATCCATTGAGGACAGTTTGATCCATAAATCCCAACTCGGTAGCCCTGCCACCAAAATCCAATGATGGCCCACGAAAAAATGACCAAAGAACAACAAAAAAAAGGCCCCAACTGTGCAAATACACATCTATAACTCTGTACTTACAGTTTCAGCACCGGATGCCCGTAATGCAGAGCCAATTTGCAAAACTTCTTCATAGACTTCCTTGTAAGTTTTCCAGACATAAGGCCCCACCTACAGAAGAATCAAAGTTAGAATGCTGCTAACAAAACAGCCACAATTGTTTAATCTACAAACTTTCAACTAGATATTTACCTTCCCATCAACAAACTCACGCCGTCCAAGCATTTTATTTCCAGGATACTTCTTCACGGAAAAACTGCGCATTAAAAGATTCACCTTGTCAAGAGACAAATTTTATAACCAGCGCAAAAATTAAACCTTCACAATATTTAAGCTTTTAAAGTTAAACTCCGGCCAACGTTACCAACCTACATGGGCTGCCAAGATAAAAGGAAGCATATATAATTGTACCAAAGTTTAGTTGCTTTAACCATTTAAACTTGAAAAACCAAGATAGTTTGTACCTAGCCTTGGCTTCCACCTTAAGATCTAGCTTTAAATTAAAACTTGACATCATTACAGAAGAGTGTTGCTTAGCACATGCTGTAATTCCTACTATTCTTCTCGCTGATCAATTTCATACCTGAAAAGATCCCAAGATGTGTTCACATCGCGATCAAGAGGAGGATATTCATTTTTCGATAGTAGATTACGATACACGGGACCAACAGAAGGTTTCCCATCTTTTCCCTCCCTCCCCTCCTCAACCTTAGCTGCAAATACCTTCATTGTCCTCAAGTTGCGGTTACACCCGCTGCTCTACAGCAAACCTACGAACTTAAATATAAGTTTCCCATAAGCTCAGAGAAAATTGAAGAAGCAAATTAAAACATACGAGTTGGCAGTCAGCTACCGCACCAGCAAACAAAAGTCAAGAATGGCTGCCGTAACGCAACTAAAATTTCAACTAGGCCATAGAAATGTAAATAACTACTACGTAAAAAACATGAGAGAATGTGGAAAAAAAGAATCAGTCAATAAATTCCAAAACTGAAATTAAGTTGAAGCCAAAAATAAGAAAAAGGAGAAGGAAAATTAAGTTAGTCAACAAGCCCCAACTTTCCTTAAACAGCATTAAGCACCGTGTGTTCCTAACCGTGGTTGTGAAGTCAATTCAATTAGATGAGATCAAAGATAATGCATTGCATGTCAAGAGGAAATGAACGAGGTTGACCTGCAGATAGCAGAAATCCTGAAGGGGAAGGAAAAGCAAAATGAAGAGTGTCTAGTGAAGAAGTAACTCAGCTAGGGGATAAATAGAGTATATAGAGTATAGACCCAATCTTCTTTTTTATGAGCGATAATAAAATCAAAATTGAAGGCATGAAAAGGGACCGAAATGATTACTCCATAATTAAAGTAGTAGAGAAAACAGTTGTAAGTGGATGAGAACTATAGGAGGATAGTAACAAGCTAGCTACGTAATTAATGAATGATTGATATATATATATATATAATTCTGTAACACCTTTTATCTTAAGTCTAGATAAACTAAGTATATTACCGATGTTGATTTATATTTATAAATATAATGAATACAAGCCAATAAGTCTCATTCCTTAATATTTTCAAACTATTAGCAAATATTGAGTTTTCAGCAAAGGTTTCTAATAATTAAAAAATAATGGGTTGAAATCAATCAAAAAAATTAGATATTAAATTATTCAAAAATTCAACTAACACTAATATATATATGCAACGTTTGGTAATACCGTTTCTGTGCGTTTGAAAATATTTTTCAAAATATGTTTTAAATAGCATTTTTTAAAATAGTTTAAATAATATTAAAATATCGAAACAATTCAAAATGCATTAATTTAATGCATTTTCAATTAAAAAACACAGCATTACTAAATACATATGAAAAAGAAGAAGAAGAAGGCATCATAATTGCAGCAGATGCACCTCCTAACCATATATACACGCAGCGAACTAAATATAATAAATTCGAAAATGGAGTAGGAAATATTAGCCAATGATGCAATGGTCAAACGGGTGTATAAGTACAGTAGCATCTACTAGTATGAACTTTTATGGTAGGAAGAAAGCGAGGGTGTTAAATGAGTTGGTTGAAGCAGGTGGATTGTGTTGTTGTTGCATTGCATGAGCTCACGTTTCATCTGTACCTCTCATTTACTTATACTATACTACTTCTAGTTGCTACGTATACTTGTTTCCTTCTTTCTTTCTTTACTCTTTACTCTTTTCTTTTGGAATAATTGTTTCTTCCATTCTTTTTGTGTATTCTAAATTACCATATAATATAAATTAATGCAATAATACGCTCACATGCTTGCTTGAAAGAATTTAGTTACATTGTATTCCAAATCAAGTTAGCTAGTTGCTCAATTGACAACCATCTCTTCCTTCTCCATTTCTTGTGTTTGTGTGGCTCTACTTTTTTCCTTTTTTTTTTTTTTTCAATAATCAAATGTAGTTTTTGAATTACTTTTATTAAATTTACCTATCCAGTATGGTTATCTATTTCAAACTGAAAATATTCACGAGGAATTTATTTTTTTGGTGTTTGAACAATTATAACTATAAAGAAAACACATCTTTTTAATTGTTAGACAGTTCCTTTTAATCTTAATTATATTATCTATGATAATGATTTTAGATTATAGTACATACTTATTCAACGAGAATGAAATAGATATCAATGAAAATGGTCCTGATCGTTTACATAATTTTATATAACTATTATTATTGTTGTTGTTGTTACTGTGAGAGTTATTATAATATAATTATTTGCTTAAAATAATGGTATAAATATAGTAAGAAATAAAGTTCTTAAGAACTTTTAGCTTAGACTGTGACTGATTTTTTTTTTTAATCAGATAAAAATAGATAGGCTTATTCTCGATCTATAAGAGGATACTGCTGACCATAAAACAGGCAAATATATATTTTTTATAATTTTATTTAGCAATCCATAATGGCCTTTTATTTATGAAGCCAATAAAGCCAATTATCGTTACAGTTAACTTTGAACCTCCAATTGAATTGTACACTGCTTTGACACTTAAGCATGGGACCTCGCAGCTTAAAAGGCGTCTATTGGATTAGGCTATTCTTTTCCTTCTTCTTCTTCTTTTTTTCTTCCTTTTTTCAAGCAGACCGACGAGCTAACTATTAGACTATTTTTAATAATTGTAACTAGCCACTATACCAACTTTTGCTCTGTGTAGGTCTTACATCACTTTCAAATATCTTGCTGGATCAAATTAAACATAACTGAGGCTTTTGTATTATATTAAAAATATCATTATAATTCATCTATTCAAATATATTTTATAACATATTATATCATTGAACGTTGGTACAAAATAGTCTTTTTATAATTTTTTTTATTAAATTGACTAACTTCCACCAAATATGATAAATATTGGCACTGCATAGATTTTTCAAAACTCAAACTGAAAGCAAATTATATATATGTATAAAGATAAATCAACAATTTGTTTTTTATAACAAAATGGATGTTGACTTGGTGGTATGAAGTTTTGGTTAAATATTCTCTATTTGAAAAAGATTATTATTTTTTATTTTACTTTTCAACAAATTAAAAATAATAATTTGTTCATACTCCCTCAGTCCCAAAGATGTTGTCTCATTTGACTTTCTACACAATTTAATAAAGTTATTAACTATTGAGTTTTTGCACGGTTTAAGAAAGTTATTAATTATTATGATATATTACTATTTTTTTATTCATACCTTATTAAATTATATATTTTTAAAAAATTGTTAGTTATCAAATTTAATCATGCATTACATTGAACTAATATTAATTTAAAGAAAAAATTATTTAAAATTAAGATGGTAAATAAAAAAATTAAAAAATAACGTACCAATAAAAATATTTTACTCTTAAATTTTAGCATGCATTAAAGTCTCTATAAGAATGAATATTTTTTAGGTAATAAAAAATTTTCTTTTGAAATTTTTATGTTAAAGGTATTTGTATGTATAAAGAAAAAATATAAAAAATATTGACTTTTTTTTATTGGTTAAAGATATTTTAAGAAAATACATTATTTAAAATTTTGACCAACACATATTTTAGAATAGATATAAACAGAAAGAAGAAAATCTTTCTACGATAGAAAGAGTAATAATTTTTTTATTTTGTATAAAAAACTTATATAAAATAATATCTTTCGAGCATAATAAATACTAAAAATTTTATCGACACTAATTACATCCAATGCAATGCTATAATTTTATAAATTATTTACATGGCAAGTAAATCTTTAGCCACATTATAATTAACATATTTATATAGGGTTATGATATATATGTATATCATCGTTAAATTTAAATTTAAATAATGTCATACATGTAATCGACTCATATCATTCATGTTGGATAAAGCAACATAAACAACACATCGAATCTCTTTACCCTTTTTTGAACAATCAAATAAGGGCTACAAATAAATACCCAAGATAAAAAACGTAACTTATGATCCGAAAATCAAAATATTAATCACACAAAGAACACAAATTTTATGTAAAAAAACCTCTTCAATTTGAGAAGGAGAGACCACGAGACCGAGTCCACAAAAATTTCCACTATCAATAATAATTGATAATACAAAGAGTCTTCTCTAGATTAAACTAAAAGAACACATCAACGATAAGCATTAAAGGTTGCACACCCTTGGCAAACCTCACCAATAGATGGTACATAAAGAAAAGAAAAAGAAAAGAAGTTTAGATTTCATCGGAAAATAATACTATTGTAAGCATCATATCTTACTCTCCGAACTTAACACTAGATCTCCACTGTTCGGAATGTGTTCTATCTCTCCTAAATGTGACAACCAAATTTGAGCTTGATCTAACGGTTAACAAACCCAACAACTTAATTTTATCATGACTGGTATGTGTTGAAAATTTCTTCCTCTTTCTCTCTATTAAGACTCTCTGGCTTTTTCTTTTCTTTTCTTTTTCTCTCTCTACTTTCTTTCCTAATCTAATCTCAAAATTAAAGAAAAAAGAGAGTTTTTGAAAAATACTCAAATTACCCTTCAAATGATTAAAAAAATCATTCTACACATTGGCTTCAAGATTGAACTTGTGTAGGCAAACCTCATGGTCATTCTCAAACTAAGAGGAAAATCTAACAAATCTCCTCCTCTCGACTAGACGAAGGTAATCGCCATCTTAACGACCGAACGACAAGCCTCAAGTTTCTTTCTTGGTAATGCTTCGATCAACATATTGGAGTCATTATTATCCGTATGGATTTTTTCAAGTTCTAACAACTTAGAATTCAAAACATCTCTAATCTAATGATATCAAACATCAATATGCTTTGATCTAGCATGAAATATAAATTTTTTATCAAGATGGATAGCACTCGATCGTCATAAAATAGCACATACCTATCTTGCTTGAAACCAAGTTTTTGAACATATTTTTTCATCCATAACAACTCTTTACAAGCTTTCTTTGTTGTAATAAATTCCACCTCGGTAGTGAAAAGAGCAACTCACTTTTATAGTCTAGATTGCCAAGCCACATCTCTCCCTACAAAAGTAATGAACCATTTAGATGTAGACTTACGAGAGTCAATGTCTCATGTCATGTCTTAATCCGTATAGCCAATCAAGTCCGATTTCCTAACACCATATGACAAATTTAAACTCGCTTATGCCTTTGAGATATCACATCATTTGCTTTATTGCATTCTAATGACCTTTTCTTGAATTTGACAAAAAT